GATGATCTTTAAGGTCCCTTCCAACCCAAACCCTTCTATGATTCTCTGATATTACAAAGAACAAAGAATAAATCTTATTTATTAGCAGAGCAGGTGGGGAAAAACCAACCCATCTTCTTCAAACCCAAAAATTTTCTCCTATGCCAAATGAAATTATAGTGTATATATATTAACCAAAGCTTCATCTCACATTCAAGAAGTAGATGGATTTGGTTTCTTAAGTTTGTGTTTGGCAAATAAGCCAGAGAGTTTTGATTTTAAGGAAATTACGTACAAAGCTACTGTACTGCATACATATCCAGGTGCATTTCTGTTCACAGTGAGCTTGGTAAGAAAGGTGAGAACGTGGGAGGATTGCTGGGGTAACTTATAACCTTTGTGGATAAAGTAGTTTACAAAGTTAATAGTTGTCCAAGCTCTCAAAGCCAGCAGGAACAGAATTTTCTGTAGTACAACAGCATAGGCTGTTATGACTATGACAGGAGGCATTACCTCATTAATTTTTTTCTGAAATTCTTCTATTTTTTCATTTCTTCGTGCTAGTCCTTCATTCAGCATATCATGCTGAGACTCAATATTTAGGAGTTCACTTTCCAGTTTTGATTTTTCCTAGATAGAAAGGAAAAAGATGGCAATTTTTCTTAACAGGATCATCAACTTTCCAGACATTCAGAACCAGTTCTGTTCCAGATGAATTGTATTTTTCTGATTAAAAAACCTAAATATTTTCTTCTCAAATGTCACTTATCTACTATTATTGCCAATTTGCATGCAATGATTAGAGTTTTAGTAAGTAGGAAAGCAAATTACATCTTAAGTATCATTTCAAGTTCATTTTGACTTAGATTTCCAAAGGTTACTACACGATAAACCAAGCTTACCAGAAATTCAAATTTAGAAACATAAAATAAAAAAAGGCTCCTATAAACTACTTTGTAATCTTGTTTCTTACGCTTTATAAATTCCTCAGTCATAACTGCTGTATGTGAAACAAATTGAAGTTAAAAAACTATGTAAGGAAGTAGTATTACTTCAATGCTAATTACAGTCCAGGTAAAAAAATACCATTATTAAACATGAAAATTATAAAGGCTTAGTACTATACCGTGTAGAGATTACCAAGATGTTTCTTTTGAATAAGTTCTAATTCACTCTGTGAATATTTGAGTCGCGTCTGAGTTCCGTGGCACTGAGCACGCAACTGCTTTAAGTCAGCCTCCTTACGTTTGATCTTCATTAAGTCCTAGGAAAATATTACAATGTGAGAAGAGAAAAGCAATTCAAACAAAAGGCGACTTATTTGGAAATCACTCATTTTCTAGGTTTATGTGCTACATAAAGCTCGCCTCACTGACACAGGCCCCATTGAAGGTAAATCACAGAACCATAGAATGGTTTGGGTTGGAAGGGACCTTAAAGATCATCCAGTTCCAACCCCCCTGCCATGGGCAGGGACACCTTCCACTAGACCAGGTTGCTCAAAGCCTCGTCCAACCTGGCCTTGAACACTTCCAGGGAAGGGGCATCCACAGCTTCTCTGGGCAATCTGTTCCAGTGCTTCACCACCCTCTCCGGGAAGATCTTCTTCCTGATATCTAATCTAAATCTCCCCGCTTTCAATTTAAACCCGTTCCCCCTTGTCCTGTCACTACAGGGCCTTGAAAAAAGTCCCCCTCCGGCCCCTCCTCACCTGGTCCTCTTTTTTTCCCTTTTTAAAGATGGGGGTTATGTTTCCCCTTTTCCAGTCAGTGGGAACTTCACCAGACTGCCATGACTTTTCAGAAGTGATGGATAGAGGTTTCGCAACTCCATCCGCCAGTTCTTTCAGGGCCCGCGGATGTATTCCATCATGTCCCATGGACTTGTGCACCTTCAGGCTCCTCAGGTGTTCCCAAACCTGATCCTCTCTAACCATGGGTGGCTCTCCATTCTCCCAGTCCCTGCCCTTGTCTTCCCTGACTCTGGGGGTATGGCTTGTACCCTTGCCAGTGAAGACCGAGGTGAAAAAAACCATTAAGCCCCTCGGCCTTCTCCATATCCTGGGAAACCAGCTCTCCCGTTTCCTTCTGCAGAGGGCCCATATTTTCCCTGACTTTGTTTTTATCCCTTGTGTACCTATCGAAGCCCTTCTTGTTGGCCTTGATGTCCCTGGCCAGGTTCAATTCTGTCAGGGCTTTGGCTTTCCTAACCTGATCTCTGACCTCTTGGACAACTTCTCTGTAATCCTCCCAGGCTCCCTGTCCCTCCTGACAGCATTAGTCATATTCAATAGTCATTTTTGTAACGAATTTATTTCTCAGTAGAAAGCAGATGCTTGCAAATTCCTAAATACGTACTGTATTCCTTATCCAAAGTAACTAGAGGTATGACAAATTATTTTATGCTGCAGTGGATTTGGTCCATGGAAATACTTTCATGCTGACAGAATGTATCAGCTTTTTCCCCAGAAGTCATCAGGTACTTTGAACAACAGCTCTTGTTCCTTGAAGAAACTTGTTTCAACAAGTGTACTCCTGGTTGTCCACCTCTGTGTTATATCAGCCAACCCACCAGCTCAGGACAGAGACCACAATTGATTATAATGAACTACAAGAGGATAAACAGCTAATATACCCTGTCTGCATCTTTTAGAAGTTTTGAAAATCCGCTTTTTAGAAAATAATCTTCCCATAGCTGAATTAAATTAGATTAAATTTTTATTCCTTTATGCCTTCGGCAGTTAAGTGCTTTTTAACAGACATACCTTCAACTCATTAATCAAGCTATCTCTTCTTTCTTTCATGTTATTAATTTCTTTATCATCCCAACATCTAGCTTTAAATCTTAAATCACTTGATCCTCCAGAAATCACTCCAGATTTCAAAAACAAAGTTCCATCAAGAGCCACTGTCTGGAAGGAAAAAAAAAAAAAATTAAAACCTCCACAAAGCAGACGAAATATCCCATGAACCAGTGCACCAAGATACGGTAGTCAAACAAGCAACAGCCACATGCGAGCTGCACCCCAACTTTTTTCCTCTTCCAAACCTGCTAACATGAAATACATGACGCCACAGAAGAGTCTGCTGCTTCTTGGCACTAGTCACATTTTGGTGTTAATACAAGTGATTAGAAAAGGAAATTAAATTGTGTATTTGTGAAATTAATAGGAGACAATTGTGTATACACTTGCAACTTGGAAGGTGATGTCTGGCTCAGTAGAACAAACCAAGCCATGTGGTAACGGAGTGAAGGGAAACCACTCATTTGTAAACACAGAGTGTAAATTCTAGTAAGGAGCTTGGATGTTTTTGTGACTTAACCTGGATTCCAGGGAAACATGATTTTACATTTGCCTTCAACTTAAAGCTGTATAAATCATGATTTCAGAAGGTTCACTAAGTGCATAGAAGGGCTCTACAGACCAGGAGAGCAACAGAGATATGGATAAGAACAACTGCAGGAAGAGACAAAGGCACTTCCAGTTCTCAATACAATTTACATCCTCAACTAAGAGATATTTTAAAGAATTTTTGAAAGCACAGAAAAGCTAGCAAGTTTGTGGTTTTTAAATCAGACAGTTTTAAGAACAGGATTATCCCTCCTTCCTCCTCTTCATCAAAAAGACCATACCAAGAAACATCTTTGGACACCAACAATCCTCTAATAGGTCTCCTTTTCCCAGGAAATAATATAATCATGCTACCATACTGAGGAAAACATAGCCATGTGAAATATCTGGAGTGTTATTTATGTGGTAATAGACTAGACAGCGTAGCACCATTCTGTGTTTATCTGCAATACTTTGTGAGTATATTTAGAGAAGAATTATTTAAATGGCATCCAATACATAACTGCAATGAAAACGTGCAAAAAAGTTCAGCTTCTTACCTTCAGCCTTACTGGTCCATCAAATGCTATTTGTTTTGCTTCTTTAACTGTTTCACAGACCAAGCCGTTCCCACTTACAAACTGAATCACTTTTTTTAGTGGAGCAAATGGAGTTTGTACAACATCCACCATCATTTTAGCTCCTTTTATTTCTCTTAACTTTTCGTTGATTGGTTTAACCTGTAAAGCAAATAAGCAGTGTTTAGAACCCATGTTGTAATAGCAAAGCATGTCCAGGTCTGAGTAGTCTGGGACAGGATGGACAAGTCAAAAGGATGGGGGTCTCAGTCGCTACAAGACTAGAAACAGATTTAGCTTTCATATTCTGTGTATCTACAGTCCTGAAATCTGTACAGCCTGTTTCACTGTGCATCCAAGGAGAGTACAATAATGCATGGGGAATAAACGAGTTGAAGATGTGCACAGGGCAACAATCTTCTTGGTATCATGGAGACACGGTGCAATGGCTCCACAATGGGAGTGCTGCAGTGGAGGGATAGAGGCTCTTTAGGAAGGACAGGCTGGGAAGATAAGGAGATGGGGTTGCCTTGTATGCAAGACAGAACAGCTGGAATGCACAGCGCTCTGCTTGGAGAAGGATGAGCAGCCAACTGAGAGCTCTCAGGTAAGGACTGAAGAAAGAACTGCTAAAGGTAACATTATGGTGGGCATCTGCTACAGGTCCCCTGATCAGGAAGGCCAAGTGGATGAGGCCTTCCACAGACAGTTAAACAGTGGCACATTCACAGGCCCTGGTCCTCATGGAGGGCTCGAGCCACCCTGATATCCGCTACGGGACAACACAGTAGGGCACAAGCAATTCAGGCAGTTCCTAGAAAGCGTAGATGACAGCTTCCTCACCCAACTGACAGAAGCCAATGAGGAGAGGTGGTCTGCTAGACCTCATACTCGCCAACAAGGAGAGGCTTGCTGGGGATGGGAAGGTCAAAGGCAGCCCTGGCTGCAGTGAGCACAAGATAGGCGAGTTCAGGATCCTGAGGAGGGAGCAGGACAAAAGGCAAGCTCACAACCTGGGCTTCTGTAGAACAGACTTTGGCCTCTTCAAACATCTTGGTAGAGTCCCATGGGATAAGTCCCCAGAGTGAAGAGGAACCCAAGAATGCTGGCTAACGGTCAAGGATCACCTCCTCCAGCTCTATGAACAATCGTCCCAATGAGCAGGAAGTCAGGCAAAAATTACAGGAGGCCTGCGTGGATAAACATGCAGCTCCTGGCAAAACTCAAACACAAGAAGGAAGCACACAGAGGTAGAATCTGGGAGGAATATAGAGGCACTGTCCAAGAAAGCAGATAAGGGGATAAGCAGACAAGGAGTCTGGAACAAGGAAGATGGACCCTTGATGGAAAGGTATCAGGCCAGGGCATACATAAATACAGGCACCCTCATGTGATGCAGCCATCTGTGCTAAAGGACCTGGCTGATGTCACTGCAAGAACACCCTCAATAATATCTGAATGACCATGGCAACTGAAAGAGGTGCCTAAGGACTGGAGAAAAAACAAGCGTCACTCCCATGTTCAAAAACGGGCAAGAACTATTCCTAGAAGCCATTCCAGGCACATGAATGACCAGAAAGTCTTGGAGGAGTAGTCAGCATGCATTCACCAAGCTGGTCATGTCTGACCAATGTGATAGCCTTCTACAATGAAATGACCGCCCTGGTAGATGATGGGAGGGCAGTGGATATTGTCTACCTAGACCTCAGTAAGTCTTTCAACTCTGTCTGCCATAAGATCCTCAGAGAAGCTGATGAAATACAGACTAGATGGACAGACAGTGAGGTGGACTGAGAACTGTCTGAACAGACAGGACCACAGGATGGTGACTGGTGGCACAAAGTCCAGTTGAAGGCCAGTAACTAGTGATGTCAATACTGGGACCAATCCTGTTTAAAACCTTCATTAATCACCTGGATGATGGGGATTGTGTGCTGACGAACTAAATGGGAGATATGTCAGATGGTCATGCTGCCATCCAGCAGGACCTCAGCAGGTTGGAGAAATGGGCCAGCAGGAACCTCATGAAGTTCACTTCACAAGTGTTATGCCCTAACACTTAAGCCTCTTTTACTTAAGCTTAAATGAGCCAATACCAACATTTACAAGTACAATAACTTGCTGATGACAGGAAGAAGAAAAATGTACTTACATCAAGGTAATCCAAGGCCAGAAAAGTTTCAGGCTCGGCTCTTTCTTGTTTTAGGAACAGAATGCAATCTCTTGCTGTTTTTTCAGAGGCAACAACAATAGCAGTCATATATTTGCTGAATACCTTGGTAACTGCAAGCTGGTATTTTTTATGAATAGGATGACACAGGTCAAGCAGTCTTCCAAACTGAAGATAAAAATATGAAGAAATATTAATATGTTACTTAAGATACCAAATAACATTCCTACATACAAGATACTGAAGTAGCAAGAGGAAAATACGTTACATATCTACCAGCTGTGCTCTTGCAATGGCTGCCCATCAGAAAAAAAGCAATTTGGATTGACAACTGGTACAATTTCTACATGTCTTAAATCTGATGGGATTTAATATTTCCCCCTGACATTACAGTTATATATCTCAGCGTTTTACTCACAACCTCTAGCACAGACTTCCACAAGTAAGACAGAGTGACAATAGCAAAGTTAGCTAAGCATTGTTTTTGGAGAGAAAGAAAGTAAGATCTTTGCATGACAATAAGGTCTTACATAAATACAACTGTTAACTGGAAAATGGTAGCAAGAGAGGCACTATTCCATTTTCCACCCAAAAAAGAATTATCTGCTTACTTTAGTAGCATGAAAAGAATAAAAACTGTTTTTCTTGTACTGCATAATCCAAATAATCAAGCCTGTTTTGCCATATATTGAAATAACATCTCCATAGAAAAATTATTAGTTCTTTGCTGTGCATACTCCCTAAAGATCTTTTGTTCCATTTCTGTAACTGTAGGGACTGTTGACCTTTCCCTGAATGATTAAAGCTACTAATGCACATTTTAAACATTATAACCTGCAAATTTATGCAAGAACAATTTTTCTGCTTGTTTACATGTAGGTACTGCTCTCCTCTTGCACAGCTATAGTTCTATCCTTAGCAAATTTAAACAAATGAGAACAGAAGGACAACCAATAAGAGCTGTAGTCATTCACAGTATTGTCTCCTGAAAGACAGAATGGAGATAATTCCCAGCAGATGAAATCATGGCCTACTTTCCTGCCCTTCCCTTGGCAAATGATTTCCTTTTTCTGAAAAGCAGCAGAAGCAACGATAACGCCCCACAATTGGTTGGGTTATTCAGTTTCCTGGTTTTCTCACACAGCATCATCTGCTTGGATGTTTCTGTCTGAAACATTGCATGTCTGAGCTGCAAAACTACACAGAGGATCTACGCGCTTTTAGACACCGGCATTTCAGTCCAGATAGAACGCCAGACTTCTGTGAGAACATCTACTGACAGCCCAACTGAATCTGTAGCAACAGCAGTCTTGACAATTCAACCTACCAATGTAGGAATGCCATACTGAAAACTAAACCGCAAAAATCGGACAATTTTTTAGCAGGAATCACATTGCTGGGCGGCTATTCTAGTACCAGCAATGTTCACCAGCCATTATGAGAACGTTTTAACAGAAGAACAGCAGCTTTAAAATGGGTGCAAAAACTAAACATTCAGAAGCAGTGTGCCATTTTTTGCCTATGAATTCCAGAAGAACACTACCAAGATTTCCTCCAGTTCTGCCCCAGTATTTAGTGGACTACCAGAAGATGCAATGGGTCATGGCCCTTCCATCCTGAGACTTTAATTTGGATGGTGTTCAGTAATCTGGAGTTAGTACACTGGAGCCTAAGAAGCAGCTCAGAAGGGACTCTGTTACCTCATACGCTGATGTTGGGAAAAACATTGCAGGAACATGGGTAACTGAAGCAGGTATCATTAAGACTTCCTGTCATGGGATAGTTTAGGTAACCAATTCAACTTAATCACATCTGTAAGTACTCTTAAGTTTGCAGCTCCTAAAGCTGAACAACAGAACATCCTGAACAGCAGCTCTCCCTTAAGCCAGCAAGATATCACTAGTGTGATCCAGTTCTTTTCAAACAGAGATATAACACAAAGTGAGCAAGAAGAGAGAGACCAGTTATCTCTTTGATTTTTCTGGAACACCGTGTTAACATGGATGAAAAAATTCTGAAGGACACCTGAAAAGCAGAGTTATCTTTTGAGAAAACAGTAGGATCAGACACTTGCCAGATTCAGGGAAGGTTTTACAAGAGACCAGGAAGCAAAGAACAACTGAAAACATTTTAATTTTTATGTTCTTATGGCAGCACTAGGAAACAGAGATATATCACCTTCTAAACTCATGGGGGGACAGGGAAGAAGATTCCCAGCATGTACATCTCAACTGACCATGTATAATCAAAAAGAACTGATTACACTGAGACATATTCAGAGACCGACTAAGCAATTGATTAGATTTATTCAAATGTTCTTATTTGGAATGGCTCCCAGTGTTGGAGTAAAATATGTAATTGTCAATAAAAAGGTGTAAATATGCTTTCTAAAACAATGTCTGCTGACAATTCAGAATCAATGCACAAAACACCCAATGGCATTACTGAAGAGTAATTTAAGTAAAATATGGTAACAGATAAGCAAACACAGACTACTTGGTAACAAAAATCTCATACACCTAAACAAAACTGTCCTTTGGAAGAAGTACTCCCTCTGGAATAAACGGTCTCACAATAAACTTCCCATTCATTTGTTCAAAACAAGTCAAAAATCATGTTTGAGGACCAAAGAAAACAAAAATCAAAAAGAATAAATTAAATACTACAAAACTACACAAGGGATCATATTCTTTGATGCAAGCACTAATCTGTCTATTTCTGGAAACGGTGAAAAATGATGACAGTATATGCTACTATTTTTTCAATATAATACTATTTCACCAAGTACACTCCAGCAAGCATAAAATGTTTAATGTAATATTCAAGACAGTCCAATTACTCTAGCTGCTTACTCAGTTCCAAGCAGAATCCTTAATTCTAAAGTAAGGCATATAAATGAGGCCACTGAATTACCACAGAACCCGGGTATAGTCTTTTGAGACTTTCCAGGATCTCCGCTCTCATTTGCTGACGCCTTCCTTCATGGTAATCAATTCTGGCATTCTGCAGTTCACCAACGACTTTATTCAATTCTTCGTTCACTTCAGCCATTCGCATTGTTGAATTTTCCATTTCCTCAGTTAGCGCCTCCTCTTGCTGTTTTTTCTGTGCTAATGATTCACTTTGAACAGAAGCAAAAATAGGAAAGCAATTTACTATTTCATTTATACAAGTTTTTAGATTATATAATTAAAGTAGTTCTATGGTCACAGACTATGAAAATCATTAAAGATTTTAAGTATCTATAAGAAGCTACTTATACAAGTTGCATTCTGTAGTATAAGCTACTTATAAGGTTTCAAAATTGAGTTCAAGCAAGAGTTTTGGCCTGTGTAACATGCAACCATGCTGTTTTATCCTCCATGAAGAAAAGGTCTGATACGGTAAAACTAAGAAGGACTGAGAATCCTTATGCAAAATTATGACTCTACACACTTACCCAAGTCACTAAGGCTCTACCACACTCTACTACAGCTACTTAAACTAATTTTGCATCATCCCAATCACATTGGGTCTGCTGCTCCCTGCCCACAGCAGAACTTTGTTCAGTATACGGACAGCATTAAGCCAAATCATCCATTACAGCTGCATAAGAAAAGTTGAGAAAAAAAATGTCTGGGTATCACCCACTCTGACCTCCTCCACAAAACACTGGCTCATGCCAAGTTAGTTCAGGCTGCTCGGTAGAGGGCTTATTTCACAAAGAGTAAAAGTCAGGTGGAAGACGAGACGCAGGAAGCAAGAACGGAGCTCTGGTCCTAATACACAATGCAAATAGTCATGCTTTCTACAGCAGCGGAGCTACAAACTGCCCTGTTCTCTTGCTAAGAATTTGAACATTAACAGCCCCACCTGTAGTGACGTAATTTGCACTTACACTAAATTAGAACCAATTATAAAACTGCCTTCAAACAAAATATGGATGAACCATCAAACTTCCAATTTTATTTTGACAGCTAAAGTAACTAAAATATCAATTAGGATTAGTAAGAATTCTACTTCTTATTAAAGTTTTAAATAATGGAAAAGAATTAGAAACCTGCTACTTCAGATGAAAACATGATACACAAGAAATCCAATTAGCCTTTAATTTTTTAAACATACGTGCATATCTTGGCATATTCTTCCAACTTCTCTATTCGTTTTTTATGCTCTTCTATCTGTTCCACCGTCTGTTTTATGTTTCCCTGCATCGATCACAGATAGCATGTGTGAAAAACAAAACAGAGGAAAATGATGTATTTAGAGCAAGATAAAAAGCTCTTAATTCAGAACAGTAACTGAGGCAGATCTCTTCTTCCTTGTTGGTATTTCATGCTGAAGTAACAGCATCTCTCTTTCAGTCGCAGATGCCAAACTGCACTATGAATAGTAGAGGAAAATTATTCTGTCAAGCCCATTACTGGATTTTTCATGTCAGCTACAGTTAAGAGAAAGCCTCTGAAGCACAAAGAATCATGACACCATGAAATAAACCAACTTTAAGCACAGTGTTAGTAAATGACAGGTGTTAAAACAAAAAAGGTGCTTTTCTTTGCCTAATAGAAACTTTTTCTTAAGAAGGACACAAAGAAGTTGACAGAGGTTCCAGCCTGACACAAAAGCATTGCACTAAAGAACAAGCCAACAGCGAAACAAGTATTTTCAGTTACTCAAATTGAGGAAAAATCTATTAACTAAAGCAAACAAAAGAAAAAAAGATATTTACCTACATGTTTTATTAAGCCTTAATTCAACTTCTGAAATCCTGGTCATTTTTTGAATAGCTCTGGGGATGGAGAGCCCACCTCCTCTTTGTGTGCTCACTTCAATGTCTCACTGTCCTTGAGAGGAAACAGTTTACCTAACAGCTATTTGGAATTTCTCACGGTTTAAGTTGTGTCTGTTGTCTCCCATCCTATCACTGTGCAACTCTAGAAAGAGCATTACTCTATCTTATTCATGCCCTCCCATCAGGTAACTGCAGACAGCAGGAAGGTTTCCCCTTCGCCTTCAGAGAGTGGCTCTCTGCTGGGCTCACCACAGGACGATAACATCTGTCTCATACTGGGGAGTCCAGAACCAGACAGATCATGCTAGATGTGGTCACATACGTGCCGAATTGTGAGGAGTCATCACCACATGTCAGTAGCACAGATAAGTAATGCCAATTCTGCATGGTCAGACATGCATTTTAAGGAACTCAAGTATCCCTTATTTCCTTCTCAACAGGACAATGGGACTTTCAGAGTTTTAGAAGTGAAATAAATTGGATTGCTTGTGCTTCTAAATACTAACCAGCTTTTCCTGGTAACTAAAACTTTAAAAAAAAAAAAGGTAGTATTGTGTCAAGAGCGAATGGATGTACAAACATTAACTTAAGATATCACAGCAAGGATGACTTTACATTCTCGTAGATAGACAGTAGAATATAGACTTTTCCATATAAGCAAGTTTGTATGTACAAGAATGAGGCATTAGGAACTCTACAACTGGTAAAGTCTTATCTGATGGGATTTTTAAAAAGTTTTCTGAACATAAGGAGTCTCCTCTGAACCTTGACTCTATAACCAAATGGTGAAGAAAAAAATGCATGTTACCTCTCACTTCTTAGTAGGTGATAAAGATGGAAGGTTAGCATAGTTTGAAAAAAAGGCAAGAAAACCCTGAAGCACCTAAGAGGGCAAGGTTTCCAGCAAAAGACAGATTGTCAGCTCAGAAGCAGAAAGGACAGAAGCTATCAGAAGCATCATGCGAAGTTGAACAATGAGCTGGGGAAGAATTTTTCTGAGACAGAAGATCAGGCACAGGGATGAAATCATAGTAAAAAATGTAGATATCTTATCGCTACATGTTTGGATCTGCAATGAGCCAAAATAAATGGGAAACAAAATGACAGCAATGACCTGTATTCATGTAAAACACTCTGCCTCTGAAAGTGCAATAGAAGAGCAGATCCCGCAGGGATTTTTCCAACTACAACACTCATACACACAACTAACCTTAAAAGAATCTTCGCAAAAAGGTAGCTGTGATCAAAATAAACCTCTAAAGGGTTGTACATCTGTATGATGCTCACACATCAGGAGGACATCTCCAAGGAAAACTACGCTTACAAAACCAGGAACTGATTACAGTTAAGCACATGTTCTAATGTTCTAAGTAACTAAAATACTAGAGCCAAATCTTTCCAAACCAAATCCTCATTGTCGGTCCACACAACCATTCTCTGAACAAATTTAGAAGCCATTTTGCTAAACCTGTTGCAATATGAAAATTGAACCAACACTTGTGAGCTACCTACTTAGCTGAGAGCTTGTGCATGTCAAAGTATTTAACACATTTATAACATGGGGAGGTGGAGAGAAACATTTTTCTCAAAAAACAATTCTAGCTTGATACAAATACCTCAACTTCTTTTTTCTTCCTCCGATTAAGTTTCAGCCTTTCTTGATCTCCTTTTTCCTCCCAGAGAAGTTTTTCTAGCTGCTGAGTTAGTGTAGCTACTTTCTTTCTTGAAATTTCCTTCAGCTCTTTATAGCGTTCCAACTGCATAAATAACAAAAGCAAAGTCACTCCACTGAAAGTGGGAAGACTCACACTGTTACAGTCTCAATTAGTAATTGCCTACTTTAATGATAATTAAGATTATGGAAAAAAAGCCAATTCTCCGTAAGACCTTGTTAGCTACTAATCACATTTCAGAAGTTACAGTTTATTAGAGAAAGAGTCAACCCAAGGCTTACACTGCTCGTCTATGGTCTTGCTTTTGACTTCTAACGACTCCTATTTTTCAGGAAAGTGTGAAGCTTACAGTGCCCATAGTCAATCTTAAGATTAATATTAAGATTTTGCACAACTCAAAGTCAGTGCAAGTTTTGGTATTTGTAATTACAGCATTCTCGTGTTACAACTATTTTTAAGGTAAATATAAACATTTTAAACAATCCTGCAAAGTTAGGACTAACTGACCAAATGCCTCTGAAGTGCAGAGCAGGAAGGTTCACAAACTAAAAGATCAACCCTGCAGGTTCTGCATTAATGGCTCAGAAGTTATTTTAAGGAAGAGATGGTGGATACTTAGTTTTAAAAGCATTTCTGGCCATATGGTTGCAAAGATAGCCTCTTCGAATCTCAGTTTACTGTCAAGTGATGTAGTCCTTTCCTTCTAAAATAACTTAAAATAGCTCACAAAGGAGCTTAGATTCCGACCCACAGCAGATGGTATACATACTACCAAGTCTTGTGTTTTTTCCTAATTGAGGACATATTTCTGCATCTCCGCTGACAAGCCATTTCTCAAAAATTACCCTGAGACTCTATTGGATGTTTTCTATCCTACCTGCCCACAGTGTACCCTGTGGACATCTGTGAAGAGAGGGAAAAACACAAAGCAGAGAGAACAACCTAGCCATGGACAATAACATGTAGCTATAAGCCTAACTCACAAGTGACAGCCCCTTCGGAAGTTTCCATTAAACTGTTCTCAACTTCTTGTTCACTGAAGTTCACTGCTTTCCCTAACAAGGTATCTCACATGGCTTACATGCACTTTGCACCCTGGAAGAGATGCTTACTGGTTCTAGTCTCACAATTCTGAATTTCTAAATCTCTGTGCAATTTAGATTTACTTTCTATAAGTGTTCCACATTTGGAACTTCTGTAAGATCTGACCTCCCCCTCCCTCCACCCCCAAAAGGAGACAACCCACTCTCCCAAAAGGCTGCATCAACATTTCTTTTAATCCAATGAAACAGTCTCTGAATACAAGGTTACAATTTTCTTTTTGTTTGACCTTAAGAGCAAAGAGATCATTAGAAATTACAGGTTATCGGTGAAACAATAGTTTCTCTGTCATCCTGGGGATTTCTGGACTGCACAAGTAAACAGTACTTTTTGGCCTCCCAATTCACCTGGCTTTCTCCCAGCTCAATATCTGCTGCTCTCCGCAACATCTTTTCTTCAGCTTTCTTTTCAAACACTCTCCACACCCTCTCAATATCATTCAGTTCTATCTCTAGTTCTTTTATATCCTGTTTTTCCTTATCACAGGATTTCTCCTTGTCCCTTAGAGATTTTTTTGACATTTCTACTTTCTTGATTTGGTAGGAAGTATTTTCCTTTGCTTTTATATAGAGGGGTCTCTGCTGAATCAGTGATGCTTCCAGAGTCCTAAAAAAACAAAAAACAAACAAACAAAAAAACCCACCAAAAAACCCAGAACAAAACACCCCAAAAAACCACCCACACACAAACAACAAACAAAAAATCCCAAATTTAAAAAAAAAAACAAACCACAAACAAAAAACACAACCAACCACCATAAAATTCTTCCAAAATAACAAAAAAAAAAAAGAGAGAAAAAGAACAATAAACCCCCTCCCAACCACACATGCAAATAAGCAGTCATCAGCTGTAAGGTTACTGAGCCACAGGGTATTTCTTTTTTAACTGTTGGTTTTTTTAATATCCACTGAAAACAGAAGTTTAAGTAGTGAAGCATGATCTTTTATAAAATTTAATAGCAAACAAGTACATATATAACAAAATTACTGACAACCTGAGCATGTGGTGGCAGTGAAATCCATCTCTAGACAGTACTTCAGTAAACTGCTACAACCTGACTTCCACAGCATTTTTCACCCACCTGCTTCAGCAGTAAATGCATGCCTGCCAAGCAATTCCCACTACAGACTACGCTGTAACTCAACCATCAGAGAATTTGATTGGAAAACCTACTTCATTTCTCTTTCCATGTGCTGGTGGTCTCTGTTTAGTACACCAAGCTCTTTTTTCTTGGCTCTAAATGAATCTTCTGCTGCAGAAAGAGACATTTTCTTGATACTAGCCTCCATATTCTTTTCATCCAAACTTTTTTTCACGAAGTCAATGTTTGTTTCGTTGTGATAAAGCTTGAAAAGCTGCAGCTGTATCCTTTCTTCATCCAGTTCCTTGAGAAGCATCTGGTAATGGTCTGCCTACCAATATTAAAGTTTTATTTATGGTTTATAAAAAAGATTTTTAATCATTAGCAGTCTCATTTCAAGTCCAAAGTGATGTAAGAGAACGTACCATTAGCTGTAATTCCACTGATGTGCACTAATCATAAAACTCAAACAGGTAAGTCAACACTTAAATATACTGGCAAACCTACACTTTCATCTACGCAGATTTTATTGTATGTGTTCCTTGACCCTTGTAAATGACACTAAATTATTATATGGTATAGTGTACCAAAAAAAATATTAGATGAAAAATAGGATTTTTTTTTTTAAAGTTCATAAAAGGTACAAATCTGAGATCTTAAGATGCAAAAAAGGAATAACTTTGAGTTACCTCCTCTTTCTCTATCTTTGCTTGTTTGCGTTCTGCTGCAATACTTTTTTTCTTGTTATAATTAAACTGTGCATCTTCTTCCGCTTGCTGCATTTTTTTCTTTTTTTGCTCATATTCTTCAGCGTATTCCCATGAATTACTGATCTGTTCAAAAAGTTGAGTTCTCTCCTTCGGCTTCTTCATTGCAATCGATTCTACTGTTCCCTATAACAATATTGCCCAAAAAAAAAAATTAAAAGAAAAAAGCAGCACTGTAGACCATTATGTTGTCTGGTGAACTTCTTTAAGAGCACACAATACAGATTTATTATCCCTGGATATATTTATGGTTAACAGAATCAGATGTAAATATTTTTAGATTCAAACCCAAGGAAAAAGGTTTAGCAGGAAAAGGAGTATCACCTAGCCATCTCTCCTAATTAAATAGCATCACTGAAATTTGTAGAATGTCAACTACAGTCTATGAAAAACATATTCAAACTAAATCAACCCGTGCAAATCAGTGAACAGTATCGCAATGATAAAAATAAGTCTTCTTAGCCTCTTTAAAGGAACTGAAATGCACCCGTAAACTAACACCCTCCCTCCCAGTATTTCAAAAGTGAAACAACCGAAATCAATGCACTCGAAGATCGCATAACTCCCAGGGTTAACGGGTGCAGAATTTTTGTCCAAGTGTTAGCTGCTCCAACCTTCACTGATCTGAAGGAGTTACTGTTTTCAGTAAAGTGTAGGAAACAAGTCTTGTGATTTTCTGTTTGTATAGTGAGCAAAGGCCCTCATCAAGGAAACTATTATCACAATAGAACTCCACATACAAGGTTTCTATAAAAGGGAAAAATCAGTTCTTCCTTGGGAATTTTCCTCAGCAACTGCAAGGAAGACAATCCTGTGAAATATATTCATCACAAGCATATGGCATTTCTGACATATTGTTATATACTTGTGAACTAATGACCCACTAGGATTTTCTTAATCTTAACAAAAAATCATATAGATTTTCACAGATCTTGCTTAATAGGAGTCCTTTAAGATAAAGTTATCTTTTCTTATTTATAATACTCCCAGAATTTAAAACACTAAATGTTTATAATTAGAGACCCACATTTTCTTATACACTCTGAGTAACACAAGTACTCAGCTTTTTCCATATTAGCTTCTTTCCCACTAGTGCAGTTATGTGCGCACAACCCCTATTATTTCCATTTCGCAGTCTTGTAATTCTTGGCCAACACCAGAAGAAGTGTATTGGCTTAAAACTAGCTAAGAGTGCCCTCTTTCCTGTCAAAGAGATAACTGTGTGCTCTTACAATCTCAGCTTTTATTTTCTTTATGAAGTACTTGAAATGCTCACCTGAAAAACAAGACAATTCCTAGCTTTGACAAGTATGCCTATTTTTTCAAGCTCAGCTATGTAAGTAGATCGGCTGACAGGTTTATCATTGAAAAGAAATTCAGAACAACTACCTAAATGAGGAAAGAAATAAAAATTACAATGAAATGGCTGCAACACAAAATCCAAAGGAAAAGAACTCAGCCAGTGGAACAATTTAGCTAAGCAAATTCCTCAAAGAAGAAATTAGATTGCAATTAACTTCCATTCCAATAATTCCATTTTTCTGTATGAAGATTCTAGTTGCATGCTTCCAGTTGGTACTGACAGATGCTTAAGTGCTCGTGCCTGCAGCAAGGTGTCAGACTCCATTTTCTAGAGCCTACACCATCTACGTATTCCAAGTGATAGGTACAGATCAAATCACAGAGCAAAGAACATATATTAATCACCTGTTTAACTTTTTAATTTTGCCCCAGTATGTTTTTTCAATTTTAACACTTGGCTATCAAAATGCTACTGAAGGACTACTACTCATGGATTTAATCCACCCATGCCCAATATTTGGCATCTGAAATTCAAAGCTGAGTATCCTTGGTCTCTATGTTTTATACATCAGACAACAGAAAGTACATGCAGCAGAATCTACCACTTACCACGGATCACTCTTGAAAATGTTTTTTCTTCCCCATCTTCTTCACAATATACTATCTTCACACTAGCTGTAGAAGAAACTGGTTTTCCAACATGTGCTCCATGAATAAGTTCTCGAACACTTTTAACTCGCAAATTCGATGTCTTTTCACACATCGCAAAACTAACAGCATCCATTATGTTAGATTTTCCTTAAAAAAAAAAATAGGCTTTGGCATGGCAGGAATGAAAGTAAGCATTTGATTGAGAATTAACCGAAAAACATATACATAAATGCAAAAGTCTCTATTAATTCTACCTGTAATTCTTTATTTCACCAAGAAAAAAATATTGAACTTAAGTACATTTCCAAGATGTAACACACTGGTGGTAGCTAAGAAGCCTGTAATGTAGTAAAAACCATCACAAAACTGATTTGTTATTTGTTCACACCTGTTGATCAAATCTTTCTTACACAGGCACCTCTAGAGGTCATTACTTAAACAAAGCCAGCAACATCATAAACCTTACTTGGTAGTCCCTTCACATAATGCAGTCAGTGGGGTTTGCTGCATACACACTATCACATAATTAGATCTTTTCCACTACAACTCCAGTGATCTGAAGCATACAAGTACTCTCCCAGACCCATTTACCACAGCAGAGTTCTCTGATCACACGCCTCAGAAAAAAAATTCTCTTAATTGATTCCTCTTTTTGGTTTTCCCCTGTTGTCTTGAACACTTCTGTTCACAGCTTAATTATTTTCTGCCTTCAACCTTGCTACTTTGGCACTATTTTGATTTATTCTCCAAAATAGCATAAAAGGAAGAATACTAGGGGAAAAATAAACAAAAAACTCAATTCAGAGATTACACAATATTCATATTTTTTGTCCTAAAATTCACATAAAATGTATTCAGATTTAACTGGAAAAGTATCCATGATTTTGAGACTTTCCAATTTGGAACACTGGGGATATGATGATAAAGAATATAATAATCCTAAATAACAGCTACTTACATTCATAGATCCTACTTCAAGTAGATAATTAAAGAAACAACAAGATCTAAAAAGTCTAAATCATTAAATAATTAACAGACTGGGGAAGACGAAATGCAAAGCCCATCCTTGTGGCTCTCTGTTAGGACAATTCTCACCTCCTATCATACTGTTCTCCAGCAAATAAAAGATAAAATCCCACTTGTTGAATGGAGCTTTCCAAAGAAGTGAACCAAACTTTACAGAGTTCCAGCACCCATGGGATACCAGTGTGGGGTCACAGCTACAAAAGCATGGCTCTTGCGGGCTAAACTGCAAAGCTACCAACATCCTCCAAAGCTACTATTTCTTTCCCAAAGGTATTTACTCATACGGCAAAGACCGGAGGCCAAAATCAAGAAGCAGCTTTCCATCGCCACAGTTTACAGCCCAGAGAACTGAAGTAAAACCCTCTTTATGTGTCCTTAGTAAGCTGAACTACGAACCAGAGTGGCAAAGGCAAGGCATACTGTTTGCAAACCACTCATTCTGCAAGGGCTGGTAAGAGTAGAGAATACAACGAGAAATGGAAATTCCTTCAGCCATCCCACCTCTGTCCTTCCATGCTGGAAAATTCTGTACTTTCAGTTAAGGAAGCAGTATCAAACCAGGAGCCTCCAAAACCTTGCTTGTGCTGCTGCCCCGCAGCTGTATACGAGGAGATTTTAGGCAGGCCCAGGAGTCCTTACTTGCCCCCTGCAAAGCCCCGCAGCCCTACTCTTCAGCAGGCCAGCTACTGCCACCCCCGCCCACCCAGTGCTGCGTGCCGGCCCCGTTCCCGCGCCTACACTGCTACTGCCTCCTCCCCCTGAGGCCTGTGGGTTCCCAAAAAAGACCTGGCAAGGACCTCAAAACTGAACCACAGTCCTGACAGCTGCAGTGGCCTCCAG